ATGCCTTTCATTTACATTTTTAACAAAGGCAGAAATCCTCTTTTAAATTAGTAAACATTCTGAACACTCAGAAATTCTGATTATCTTTCTTTTCTACAGCTATTTTATAGGCCTACATTTAAAGTCATTGATTGTCATTTGCATCTTTTAGACAATATCTAATTTATGATGGCTTAATACCCAGATTAATTATTTAACATTTAATTAAGAAAATCAAATCAAGCTATCAACTCTAGATAATATACTGGCTTATATTTAGTCGTATTAAAAAGAGGCCTATCAAAAGTAATCAAGCCACCAACAGTAGATAATCGGATGTTGACAAATTGTCAATACATCATACATGTATGTACATGTATCTTTGTAAAATACTGCATGGAATTGAACCAACTTTGATAATTTTATTGTTTGCAAGTGATTCAGAATCACTCAAATGACGTTCAAAGACTTTATAGTGGATGCATATTGTTGTCAACTCCATCAGTCATCCGTCCACAATTTCTTGAGAACTCTCTACAGGTCAGAGTTCTGGTTCGATTCTGTTGAAATTTGATTCTTTATTTGGTTATAAGAAAAGAACACAATTGAAATTCAAAATTTTGGAATCTTAACACTTTTTTGCTGGTGGGTGTATTAGGGTGATTGAGAAGCTCCCTTTCTCTGATCTACAATGTAACTAGTTGTTGCTATCCTTGGCATGTAGTTGTGATGCATGTGATTATAAGTCTGCTTTCAATTTAGTGATGTAGTCATAAAAACGATCATGTAATAATATATAGAGTAATGAAATAATACATTTATATAGTGCTTGAAATCCCACATGAAGGATATCCTGCTCAATGACATTATTAAATTTTATAACCACAAACCGTATGTTATAATATAATACATCATTTGTTGAGACCTAAAAGATGCACTCTGTAGCATTTTGAAAACAAAAATTCAATAAAAATATGCATAGCTGCATTTGTTTTTGATGCTAGTTTGTCTAGGCAATACGATAGTTGTCCTAGGCTACAGTTTGCAGTGGCAATTATCACAGTGGTTGATGTCTATTGAATGGGCTGCAGGTGTTAAAATTACCCATTGGCTGTTAGCCAAGTAGCAATTATCAATATTTACATGTAGGTAATGTTTGATAAATTATAATTAACCTTAAAGGTGTGGGAATCCTAAGTTAGACTTAGTTTTGATATACTCATGACTATAGATGATGTCAGTATATATGACTACCTGTCTGTCTTGTATTGTTGTTAGTAATGATACAGTGTAGGTTGTTACTAGTAAATACATGCTTCAGCTGTAATATCTCATTAACTTACAATACAAATCTAAAACAGTGGACACATTAGCCGAATCATTTCGGCCGAATCGTTCGGCGCCGAATTTTATTCGGCCGAATGGGTGGACACACTAGCCGAATGCTTTGCCCGATTCACCAGTTGATTGCATCACCTTTTATGTCACACGATTAAACATGGCGGCGTCTATGTCTTCAAACTATCACATGACTTCTCAATAGGAGTGGTGATTGGCTAATGAATTCTACATTCGGCCGAATGCTTCGGCGAAGCGGACACACCAGGCGAATATAATTCGGCCAAATATATCAAACCTGTTTGATTCGGGCGAATCATTCGGCCGAATAGAAATTCGGGCGAATGACAGTGGACACACTAGGCGAATTTCGACGCCGATTGATTCGGCCGAATCATTCGGCTAGTGTGTCCACCGCTTAAAGGAAAATGAGAAAGGAGACATTTATGATAAAAGTGTTCTCCTAAAATTAAAGACTAGAACTTTGTTACATCATAATATTTCATTACAAATTTAAATCTGCATGTTCATTTATTTCACAAAACATGAAAGTTAATATGGAATATTAGTCTGTGGCCTAGATTTCTTTATATGAAATAAAAAGTAAACACAATTGTTTTTGTACAATATATTAGATCTTTACATTCTGTTATGTTTCCTTTTCATTACGGTTTTACAATTCTTTTGATGGTCCGATCTCCATGTGAAGTTCGTATTAAGTGGCGGACCGACATACATTTTTGATGGGACAGGACTTTGAACTGTTACGGGGTCCTTCAAATCATCAACAATTGCTGTTATACAAATCTCCCTACACAAATCCCATTCGAATGGGTCTTAATTCCAAAGTCCTGATTCTACATGTGTTATTATCAGGACACCCAGCAATATTATAGTGGCTATTCAACCCTAAACATCCTACTCTGTCTTACCACAACAGTAGACCTAAAATGTTTAAACTATGTGGATTTGGAGCCCTGAAGATTAATCTTCAATCGTACCTATTCATAACCATGGTTGATACAGTGGTCCTTAAATGTCACAATGTACTACCTGTATTAAGGAAGTTTGGACAACCCAAAAAACAAATAAAATATTATCCGGGTTTTAATCATATAGACATATTGTCTACTGACAAAAATACCACAGAAATATATATGATTATATTATATAGAGATATATAGTAAGTTATTTATGTAGCTTTAATATTAACTGAAGGAAACGTTATGTATTGAGTTGAATTAGACCATACAGATTTTCTGTCAACCTTTTAGATGTAGAAACATGACTTAGATTTATAAGGGACTGGCTCTGTTTCACCCAGGATGACCCCATGGTATATATCATATATATACCATAAATGTGAAACAGGTGCTTGCCACATAGCCATGTTCTAACTAGAATGAACAGACAATAAGTATGCAGGTTATTTAGGCAAATGAATGTATTAAGGCCTGATATTAATCAGATTGAATTATGTTGTTTTTGTTGTTTATTACCATAATTTATTTTCTCAATAACATAATTTTCTAAGAAAAATATTACAATTATTTAATTATTATTATTAGACTCTTTATTAGTTGCTTGATTGCTGTCAAATATTCTGTAGTACATTGTTTACCTATTTCTATTGATTTAAAGGCATAATGATGACTAGATTTCTCAAGCCAGTCAGATCTCCAATTTATTTATTGATTCATGTTTGCATTTTCTTTTTAAAATTAAGAAAATTTAGTGTGAAATTCATTCAGACATACACATGTAATACAAAGTAAAAATTAGAAGAATTAGTCAATTTAAGAGCTTCCATTCCTCATGGTTCAGTAAATTATAATTATCATAATGTATTAGAAAATAAAAGAATAACAATTAAAATGAACAGTTTAAATAAATAGAAAGTAAGGTTAAAAACTAATCAACTCCTTTAACACATTAAAGAGTTTACTCAATTATATTATTTCTTAATAAATTATAAAGAGGAAACTGAATTATAATATTTCTAAATAAATTATAAAGGAAATCCAAACAAGTTGTTTCCGGTTGCCTCCCACATACTCACATATTTATTTCCTCCTGGATAGTTTCAACCCAATTCATTTTTAAGAAACAAAATATTATATAATGGAACTGATTAAAAGTTGCAGACAAATGGCAGAAGTACAAAAACATTCTAAATTTTATTTTCTGAACTATTTTTTTGACTATTGTGACGAAAAAGGGTTAAACTTCTTGGACTGTCAGTTGATGTGATGTGTTATTTTGATCAGTGAAGAGGCAAGCTCTATATTATTTGAGTTGTATGGGGAAGTTTGCATGTTTGTTTACTAATTTATATTTAAATTGTAGCTTATTGTATCTATTATATCTTATTTAAAGACATGCAAATTTCAACAATAATAGTTTGTCATCTCAAAAAAACACATAAAATTCAATGAAATCAAGAATTTTTATTTTGACCTAAATCAGAGTGGTTGAAATCTTCGGATCAAATCAGTGCATGGCCAAAACAAACGTTTTATCACCATAGTAAATATGTTTAAACAGATCGATGTCCTTTAGATAAAATATAAGTATACCCCTTGTTTACTTACATAATTATACATATACAGTATACATATTGGAGATCTCAGTAAAGATAGATAGTAAACATGAATATATGTTATAAATATAAATGTATTACCTTGTCAATCTGATGCAAGAAGTCTATATATACTATATGTATATAGGCTCTATATCTGATCAGACATTAAGATTAAATATAAGTTCTGTTAAAACAGAACAGTTTGGAAATAATCCACTTTGATTAACTTTATATATGTGTATATATGTGAACATGGCAGCATCTTGAATTTGTAAAAGAAAATTAGAGTGGATTAAGAAGCTTGTGAGAGTCTACATACCTAATCTAATTTAACTTATTGCAACATGTAGAACATAAATAATTTGAAAGATTGTAAAGTGCTGCATATTTAAATATATTGCTTTAATACATGTAAGTACACATTGTATTTCTTCCATAAATAATATTGCATTCGTTATTTTGTCTTATATTTTTATTCACCCAATAATTGATGTATATTATCTGCACCCCACCCCAGCCCTCCAGCCTGTTCGTGCCCACTTGCTAGTGAATCCAGTCCTTTTGCATTCGAATTTTATGAAACATAGTACTACATATTTGAAAATTATATTATAGAATTTCAACAAAATACTTTTATTACTTCTGGAGTGATTGTCTTTGATTACCTTGTAGAACCATGCAAACTCTTTAAAGGCAAAAGTCGTTATCTAAAAACATATTCACTGTTTCGATTATTGTGACAAAAAAGCCTACAAAGTCGCACCTGTTTTAGATGTTAGATCCATAGTTATAGCCGTTGATTACGTTCTAGATTTATTGTCCAAACTCCTTTGATAAATTATCTGAGTGACTTCTAATAAAAATATGAAGATGCGTCGAAATTCCCATTATTCAAATGTTTTGTTTTACCCCAATCTAGTCCTTATTTGACAGCTGCCATTTCTGAAGCCTCCAAGTCTACATTGACCTATCCCAGTTGGCGGTCTCGTTTGAGATCTTGACCTTCATCTTAGTTCACTACAAACGGGAAGACCAAGCTGGGTGATTACGGTACTTTTAAAGATATATACAACCATTCATATGAAATAAAGTTTTGACTTACCTTTGGCCCGACAAAATATTCAGTCTTCAGATTTGACTCACAGTTACACTCGGTCATATTGTAAGCTATGGACATCAGATTATATTACCATGAGCTGTTGGTAGACAGTAATAGCACCTTAATAATGGCCCAGGTAAAAAGGGTTGAGTTTTTAACCCCACATAAACAAGTGACCTAGGATAATGATGACTGTTTAAACACCCTGTGCTGAGAGTAAACCGTTTTATCGTAGAATAATACAATTGCGTCAGGCGTGTTACTTTTCTTATGTTGTCTCAATGGAAAAAAAAAAAAATTTCAATCCAGTAGACTAAAAGTGCCATTTCCGTGGCACTTACTTTATCATCCCCAAGAACGTGTCATTTGGCTGGTTATTTTCTAACTGACCTCTAATTCTTGTGTTTTAGCTTTTAAATATGATAGTGTTAAGGAGAAACAAATGCTGTTATGACTTACATTTGCGGGTAATTTGACAGATACATGTAGATGGTAAATATTGAAAAAGTTTCTCACGCAACTGGGAGCAACTCGCTTTCCCATGGCAGTTTGGGAAGCCTTAGGTTACACCTTGATGTTGAAATTATCCCTCCTCCCCAAACAAATGATGACTTCTTAATTTTATCTGGATGCTTGCTAGTTTTACCTTCGATATTTGCAGTACATGCTTTGTAAGTCGATGAATATTAAAGGGACAATAACACTCTTGCTGGCTTGACAGCTCCAGAAAATAAAAAATAGCCTTATTCTAAGTACTAGATGTGATAGTGTCCTACCTGTTGTGTAAATTATCCATTAAATCCTATTTTACTTGTCCAGAGGGTTCAAAAATATTTTTAAATCCAAGTCACATTTGAAAAGCTTTACGTCAGGCTTTTCAAATCATTTAGTTGAATTTTTCCAATTTTTTAAATTAGATGTGTTAAGATGAAATTTGTATCATCAATTAATTGGAATATTGTAAAATAGTACAATTTGTTGACCAGAATAAAGATTGGGACATAGTATTCAGTTACAACAAGAGTGGTATTGAGCCTTTAAGATGGCGTGCACTAGGAATCATATCTAAGTGGTCCATCTAATACGAGGTCACCCGAGGATCGACGCGAAACCAGGTTGTTGGCCCCACCAAATACTTTCAGTATATCTCAGATTAATATTTTATGTTAATTAGATCTTTTTAAATAAAAAAATGACCTCACAAAATATGGGTTACAATTACAGTACAAACACGATTAGGTGTCAGCAAACAAAACCCAACAACATTAGTTTTATAATCAACAATCATCTGATTTCAAATTGAATTAAAAAAATCTGTTGACAATTACATTTTTTTTAATGGATCTTTTACATATTTCGATTGAAGCATTTGTGTCATCGATCCCTGTCAATATTTATAATCGGAAGCCTTTCGTTTCTGAGTTATCCCCCTTCGCCGAAAGCATTGTTTTAACAAATTGTTTGAAAGCAACGTGGTTATAAGAGGGTGAACCCTAGAGATTAAATTTTTTCTATGGTCATAGATCATTATCAAATTTGCTCAACATCCAAGTTTTACTTTTAATTTAAACATATTTTATTGATCATAAATCATCAAAGGGATGAGAGACAAGTGAATTCACTTACAAAGCTCTTCTCCCTACAAATACATGATAATAATACATCATTATTAAAACACTATACATGCAATAATTACCAGTTTATATTATTCTATTATATTCATAACTATATTGTATATTCTAACTATACTTTCGGGGTCATTCCATGTCAAGTGGGTTAATTTTCAGAAATTTAGGAAATTGACTCCCTCGAAAAAATATGGAAAAAATATATGTTATTGTACATGTAAAAACTAGAAACTGTGCAAAATTCGTGGTCTGTAGCTTAAAAATTGACTGAGATAGGGCATTTGACTTTCATGAGTTACCGATAAGTTTTCGAAACAAAATATATATAATTTACTCGAGTTTCAAATATCTTGTTCTTACTTTTCTAGTAAAGACTGGCAAACTCAGTTTCTTTATTAATGCATGTAAAATCTTAAAAATGAGATAATTTTATACTATTATGACTAATTAAACGAAATTTTGAACTATAAACAAACGAAACGAAATAGAATCTGTGTTTTAATCAGATTGGCTACCATAGATAGATATAAATAATTGATTTTTTTTTAAACCTGAGACAAGTATATATTTATATCGGTATATTATTGCAACATCATTTGAATTACAATTCTACAGTCTACACCAGATAGATTACAAATGGCAATTCTGCTTCGACTATAAAACTATTTACCGTAGAAATATTATCGTTACGACATTGTTTTTAAATTTATAGACAAGGAATAGAGAAATAAGATGGCTTAAACAATATTTTTATCTTTACAAATTATTCTCCATTGTCAGTATATTAGCTGTGGTATGAGTTTATTTAAAACGCAAATCAAATTGTTTATGAAATAGTGTGAGAATAACAGGAAAGAGGGTCTAAGTTCAAGGATAGATTGTGTCTAAAAACATTTGATTGGATATTTACCTTTTGCATCATTAGACTTGATTAACCAATCATTCCAATTATTTACATCATATTTGACCAATTAGATAATTGAAGGTCGAAAACCCAAAGGTACACAACTATCATACTTGTGAGAATTCGCCAGACTCTGGAAGGGAAAAGATGTAACAGTTTCTATCAACAGACTCGGCCAGCGAATCTGGCTGGATGAGGTTTGAAAGAATGACTTTAGTATTGTAACCAAAACTATGCTTGTATCCATGTATTCGGCTATGATATATAAAATGTAAAAACGAACTGTTGCATTGTTATTCTTGGTAAGGCAACCGTCTTAACTGAGATAGATAAGAAGGAGAAAATACACAACGTGGAGTGGAAGCAAAGACAACAAGTAAGGCTACTAAGATATGTAGTAAGAAAAAATGCATGGGTCATACGTAGGATGTGGCGACCGAAATTACTGGCCCGCACTCCACGTCTGACGAAAGACCCATGAAGCTACATTACGTGTGTTGCTTTTTCTTCTACAAAAAGGTAATTGCAAACTTGTAGCCTATCCAGATTGTATTTAAGGTCTAATTTTCATTTATGTGGTATTTCAGAGACATTTTAGTTCACAGTATGAGTAGTAACGCCAACTTCTGAAATACACCTCTGGCTCTAAGTGTCGGTGTTGCGTATGGGGTTGAGCGCGCTTACTCTTTCTAAAACACCCCAGATCACTTACCATGTCAGGAGTTCAAATAACCCACAAGTTTTTTGTTCTACTGTTGTAAATAAATACAATTTTTGACAAATTTTACGGATTGTCTGGTTTGCAGTTTTCAAATACAAGCGAACTTCTGATTTTGGGCAAATTTGATTAGAAGTACACATAGATCTAAAAAGATCAATTATTTAGTAAATACCGTACACGATTGGAAAGAATACTTAAATGCGTCGAATGAGAAATGAATATGAATGCAATATTTGATATATGAAGATAGCATAATTGCCGTTTCAGGGCACAAGCCGAATTGCAATTTGTAATCCATGTGGGGCAGTAATGTTAGGTTCCCACTGTCATGCGATGCGAACGCGACGATTAGCCATTCTTAGATGATCGTGGAATTCTTATTTACTTCTATGAAATTTCACGTTCGGATACGAGGTGGTGCAAGTCGATGCGTTCTTGCACGATTTTGTGCACTTCGGTGCGATATGGTCACGACTGGTCAATTTCAGGTGACACGATCTGTCAAGATAGGTTCCGATAGGATTGTCGCTATTGAGTCCACGATCTGGTACGTACAGATACGTTCGGATGCGTTTCGATGCGATCATCAGGAACCGATTGCGGTAGCGATGTTCTTCACACTCGCAATCGAGAGTGATCACTATTTGAGCCACGGTCGGGCCCCATCGTATTATATACAGTCGAGTCGGGCTGACCATCTCTACAGATTTCGCAGTGCATTTTAACAGAGCGTGGTATTTGTATTGTCCCAGGCTGATCGCAAATGGAAGTACGATTAGATGCGATCTGTCGCGCTTTATTACGATCCACGATCCGCCATTTTGAATTCCACATTTCTTGTTTGTTTGACGTTCACTGTTTTGGTAAACGATTGTTTATGTGGCTTTTTTTGTCCCCAGCTACAATATTTTGTTTTCCGTTTAATGTTTCTTTTGGAATCAATGTGCATCCGGATTACGTTTCGGATCCTTCTCAGTTTCCCTTTGTAAAGAGGACTAAACTAAGTCCTAATCACAATTATGAAATTTATTAGCAGTAGAATGTACGTATTATATATGTACCATATGAAATTAATTGGCATTATTCAAGAGTGGTGTGAACCCTATCAATGTGTCGACACAGTTATGTCCCTTCTTTACTCTAAATTTCTAAGTTAGACCCAAACTCGGTCATATCGGGACTAACATCGTTAGCAGTGGGAGGAAACCGGAGGACCCGGAGAAAACACACGAGGCTGGACAGGCGACCTCACTCCTTGTCGCGTACAAGTGGGGAATTGAAACAACGCCACTTGACTCAATGGCAGACCTTATGATAATTTAGTCTTCAGATTAATACATTTATGTCCTAGTTAAGAGAAGACAGAAAAGATCGGTCCCTGTTGAACAAAATCATTATCTTTGCACGTTGAGCATAATGGTTAAAGATATATTATTTGGGGGTTATAAAAAAAGCTGTCCGTTCATGCTTTAATAGTTCAATCAAAGAAAATGAAAAATGGATATATTGAAAATATCAGTCAAATTACTTTATTCTGGGTGAATTTATGAATGGCTATACTTTTATCAGACTTTAATATAGAAATATCAATTTTTGATCAGCAGTCTCCGAGATTGTTATCATGCATTGTGGGAAAGTGTCGACTTGTCGGCTCTATTAGCATTTTACTCCAATATGACAGGAATGTCTAATTCACCCAATATCTAAGCCATCGGTGGTCTATAGAGTTAGTTATGGGCTTGTCCTATGAATAAACGTCTAACTAACATTTTTTATTATCGCACAATATCTGGGGATATGTTGTAGCCTGCTTCCAACTTTCCAAAAAGATCGCTTATCATGATTCAAACAGACAGCCATCCCATTTTACACTGGATTAAGTCTTTGTGAAGTTTTTCTCACAGTTCTTTAACAATGACCCCGTATTGGCACATCCTTGAAATGTTGGGTTCAAGGTTAACAGGTCAT